TGAGAAATATTCAAAATGCTGCAGCAATCACTTCATTCATTTGTTATTTTTGACAATGTAATATTCGAACTTACCATTGAATGGTTGACGGTACGAAAGAATTCCATCTTTAAACGAAGACTGCCTTGAGAATGGTCGATCTCTCGAAGCGTTTCTGAAATCATTTGTTCGCTCTTTGCCACTTTCGACGATAGAATCACTTTTGAACTCCAATCGTTCCATCTTATTGGTGTGTGTCTCATTTTTGAATGCACGTTGCTGTTCACTAGCCAATTCATGCGACGGCTGATTATCGCTGTGCATCGACGTATTCGTTGAAGAAGCAGTGGTGCCGAATTCTTGTGAACTGTTTCGAGAATCTCGAAATTCTCTTGTCGACGACTCACTTTGCTGATCGTTTTTAGCAGCAAAATTGCGTTGCACTGGCAATCGATTTCGATAGTTCGGCTGTATTGACTCATTGCGATAATCGCGAGGAGAATGCCGATGATCCCTTCAAATGCTCTAGATTCTGGTGCACTCATACTTAATTCATCTAGGCAGATGCATATGGAAAATCTAGACAGAAAGAAACATAGTGAAATATAAAGTGCTTTATAATCTACGTAATGAACGAAGGTCGACTACACTTCTCAGTAGAACTCGTTAATAAAATGCCTGAATAACGCTTCATCAATGGGACTTAACAGTAACCGCTCACCTGGTGTTCTGCGAAAACAGTGAATTCTCTTGAGATTCAGCAAGCCGGCTACGTGAAGATAAACCTCCTGGCAACAAGCGTACATCGGATGAACTCAAAGTATTACCTGTCAATTGATTTTTATATTGCACTGATTGAATGCTGTGAAGCTGAACGAATAAGCAACCCTACGCTAGCTATCTGATTGCAACATCTTCATAAATAATCGACGGAAACAGAATTATGACAAATTGAACAGCAAATGCTTTGTTCGCAGAACGCAATTCTTGCTAGGGAACTGTACTGACACGGAGGTGACGCAGTTTGCTAGAGGACTGCACAGATACTTGATGATAAAACAAGTGATCGACGCTGAAACCTTTTCGGGGTTCATTTTGAGACGACGACGCGTTCTGATGTGTTGTTGACGCATCGCTGAGGTCGGTAAGCAAACGCTAAAAACATTTCATTGATGCAAATAATTATGAATTAAAGTACGAATGCACAAAAAAGGA